CAGAAATGGTCAGAGCAACGGTAGCCTGTTTGATAGTGGATGAGGATCGCGTCTCATGCGTCTCTGAGCGAGTTCGATAGTAAGCGAGGTGGGGTGGTGATGGAAGTTCTCCGGCTCACTCCACCATGGCTCTGAAATTGTGTTCGAGTACCGTGAGAACAATTTCTTCTTCTAGCTTCGCAATCGTTTACCCTTGCAGTGTTTGGTACCGGAAAGAAATGTTCTTATAAAAATGGTTTTAGTTTATCTTCTTATTTTAAAACTACCTCTGTCTGTCACATGTTCCTTGCAACCTTGGTTTCTCTCACCCAATTGTGGCCGAGGTTTTCGTTAGGAAAGGTGTATTGTCTCGGATGTTCGAACCCCCTTTGGGGGTCATATTTCGGACCACCAAATATTGGGGCCTGATATCAAGAAGGTGTCGTTTTTGAGGTTCCGCAAACTACGAAAAGGAAGTTTAAAGCAAGTGAGTGGTATAGAGTAGCCCACGAGTAGCACAGTTGTGCCGTTGTCGCGGCTCAAAAGTGCGCGACAATGGCGCTAGGGTCTTACAAAGTCAGCATTTGGCGACTAATCTTAGCATTTGGACGAGTTACGTCGCGCACACCCATGACACGCAACGTGGATTACGGCGTAGCGGCTAATTCAAATACGCGCGGGTTAGTTGAGCCGTGGAGCAGGCAAGTTCGTACAACTCGTCGGCCCCGCCCCTTCCTATTTCAAGAGGGATCCTTGTTCAGGGCTTCATCGACGCACTTATTCGCTCCTTTCTTCATTTAGGCATCCATAACGTCATTATCAATCGCTGTTACCCCACAAATTCGATCTGGGGGTGTTGCTTTGGGGCTACGCTCACATGATTGCAGTTTGTGAAGGCAGATTCCAAATACGTGTCCAAAGACGCATTTTGGACGTGCGTACCAATACAAATAACGACTTTGACCTGGGATCATTCGCATGTTATACATGAAGGCTAAAGGAAGCGATTACGATAAGGAGGGCCGCATCGGGGGAGTATATGTGCCACATAAAGCAGTTACTTGGCACAGAAACCACTTCGTGGCCGCCTAAGCGAAGCGAATTGTGGCGCTTTCAAGACGAAAGGTGCTGTGGTTGCTGTGCAGGACCTCCGCAGCACTCCGCCCCCAGCAGCGTTACGCCCACTAGTTTTGTTGATGATCTGGATGGACTGGTTGCTGTTGGCTGTTGGCTTTTCATTTTGCCCACGTATTGCCTTATCAATCAAAACACTATGCTTGTTGGCATGATGGCGGCTATCGAGACCAACATGTCCGAACAATTTCTTTCGTCACCGCTCATCCATGGTCGAAAATGAACGGAGATTTAAAGCAAAGGTCGGGCTCAGGCACGCTAGAGAAGTGATTAATTTCCGTGCCTGGAGGTTGTATGTGGGTAGCTGCACACATTGCAGCAACTTCCCACCTTGAAAAACCCCGTTAAGGCCCCGGGGCGTTCGGTTTCAATCCAGGGCCGCCTGGTCAATCCAGGACCGCCCACCTCCGGAAGTGGTGCGTGGCTGGCATAACGTGTGAAATCAGCTAGGTTGATTGCCGTATCAACCGATAGAACGACTGACATCTCCAGAAAACTTGTTTGTACGTGCCTCTTTCCCAAGCCAGCCTCCTTCACTGCTAGTGGGAAAGAGGGTTTTGTTAACGGCCTTGTCGACGGGTTTTTCTCAGTTTTTTCTCCACTGTCGTTCCACTTCGCATCTCTATACTCAGTTTCAATCGCCATAATACCCCCTTATTGAGCCCGACTTTTGCCTTTAAGTAACTTGGAGCGTTTTTTTGGACGGATTTCATAGTGCTTTTTGCGCCATGGCGTTACTATGAGCACCCCCACGTCCACTCTATATCCTTCCAGAATCTATCGTAATCGCTGCCTTTAACAAGTTTTAGCAGTGAATACAAAAATGCATTGTTCATGCCAAAGTATCAGAAGGTAGCATACCGATTAAAAACCATGATTGTCTGCAAGTTTTGCACAAAATGATGCCGAAAAAGAAATGTGTTGTCGGTAAAACTTCTCACTTTTAACCTCTCCAACGAGCTTGCTGGTCAAAATCCAAACTCTCAGAGCCATCGAAAAAACTTAAATGTGAGGCAAGACCCCAGGCGAAGCCCCGCAGTTGCTCACCAGAAATACCAAATATTACCCAGCTTGGTCTCTAGTGAAAAAGTATGCTTTCCTGCTACTGTCTAGAAGTAGATCGTTCGTAATTGTACGTGTATCCAAACTGGTGAACCGACGATGGCTGAATCTAATCTTTTATTGTGGAAGGATTCAGCTTCGTTATCCACTATAAGAATACATGTTCCATAAAAGAGCAATTCATTTTGGTGGCTGAGGCTTTCCTGTGTTCTGATGACTGCCGGGACTGTTCGAGTCTTCGTCATCTCCACTTCTCGATACCAGATTCTCCGGCACTACCGGATCGCGATACATTACGATCAGGAACTGCCTCTGAAAAAGTTGTCTAGAAAAGTACGAAGACGATTGCTGAGCGTTGATTAGTCCATCCCAAACTCAAACTCATTCATGAGATGCATCTCCGTGAGAAGTACCCGAAGGAGATTAGTCGATGCAATTCTCAACGCGAGAGGTAAAGCGAGAGATGCGATAAAGTGGTGTGCAACATGAAAGTATTTGTTTGGGGGCTATCGCCACATACAGGGAATCGTAGTGGCCAGTGCATTTAAAGCCGCCGTAAAATGTTCTGGGTCTGATGCGTAAGAACGAGCTTCAGCCACAGATGGGGTAGGACTCCAAGGTGCGTTAGCCATTTTAATTTTTCAAGAAGCTTCTGCCTCTCCTATGCTTGTAAGGCAGGTCTTTCAGGATATGGAGCGCTTTCTCGTCATGGTTTCCATGTGGGGGATCTTATGCGAGGAACATAGAGCCGTGACCATTAACGCCTCCAGGAATGTCAAAACAGTGGTGAAGAAATTATCCAGAGTTTGATCCTCGGTGATGACTAATTTTTGCAATATAGTTTGGCGTCCCCAGATTGCCGCCAAATGGTCCCATCCTCGTCAGTAGATGCCATTGTTGTGTTCTGACAATTTGGAGGCGCAATATAAGCTGCAAAAATTTGTCATCACGGAAGATCGAACTTTGGACCATTCCTTTCCCGCTGTTTTGACATTCCTGGGGGCGTTCACGAAAAACGGACCATGGTTCTGTGCTCCACACATGAGCTTCTACAACATTCAGAAGCTAAGTTGAAAAAGCGCTTCATGCCGTGAAAGACTCCCCGGTTAGTCTAAAGGGATGACCCCGTTAGGCCAAACTGCCAATGTTATAATAGATTGAGCAAAAATTATCCACCTTTCCAAGCTCATCATCGCTCTTTGACTTTTGCTGATTTTTTCGGATATTACGAATTTTTTATGGTCTGAAAGCGCGCACTCCGTTGCACATTTTGGAGTACAACGCTTGTTTAGTTGCTTCACTGTGGAGCAAACATGCGAGCGAAAACAAGTTGCTTCATACAATGAGCTACAAATGTGAGCTTAGCGACAGTTGTTGCGGTGACTTGCTCGTAGAGTGTTTAACGAAAAGCCTGCGCGGGGCGAGCTAACAACGGTCAAGGAATCCTCGACAATGGCTCTGTACTGTGCGAGAGTAGTGCAGAGAGTGAGTGTGCGCGCGGAGTGCATAGACAGCTCGCGCATGGCGAGTGTGAATGTCGGCGCGGGAGAGCGTAACTGATCAGGCGAAAATCCTCGACAAAGCCCTTGCAGGAATTCCTCGACCGATATCACCTAGATTTCGAGTGCATGGCGCAGAATCGTTCGAGAACATTTGCGACTAACCATTCTATTTGCTTTTTAAATGCGTTCCGCTAACGAATTTATGTGTGAAAGAAAAGGCCGAAATTTCGCTTCGTCCAAACGAGCAACATTTGGCAACGCCAAACAGATAGATGGATACTGCCTATATTTGTTAGAGGCTGGATTGAGCCATTGCTAATACGCTAGGCAAACTTTGGACGACCCCAGGGTAGGATTTCTTTGTCACCGGATCATTTCTTCTTCATAAGGTCCTGTGTTGATCAGGATAAGCGCAGCACTTCAACACACAACGGCTGCAAGGTGTTGAAAAGCGAATACAGCATAGCACATGTACAAGGTGGATTGGCGGGGGGGGGAAGTTATACGAAATCACTTCCCTCCACATTCAAAACGGATTTAAATACAGACTGCAAAACCAAACCAAACGAGCTCAACTGTATTATTGCATATTAAAGAGCACAGTCTAGTCTATCAAGAAAAGTTACATATCAGCCTTCTACACCGACGACATCAGAAGATTTTCCCACGGAAACATGGTTCACGGTACGAGCTCAACGAGGTCGTCGAGGTACCATAGACCATTACGACGTCCCTGAAACGCTGGTCAAAAGCGGTCTTGCACAGTCACAGCTAGTGTCTCTTAGAAGCTATTCACCAGTTAATCATTGAAGAATTATGCAGCGAGCTTCGTCGCGAGCGATTGTGGTATGCTTCGTTGAGTTCGACGGTGACGTCATAGTCTGAGGATGGTGGGGATAGTGAAGGAGGGCCTGCTTCTGCTTTTAGGGGGGGCGGGCCCCTAAAGAATATTCCGCCGTTCGTAACATTCAATCAACAAGCGCATCCATGCAGAGAAAAATTAACGAGTGGGCGCCATGGGCCAAAGTGGCCTCTTTTGTTTGGCCCCCCTCTGATAAATTCCACACATACTATGATTTCCAAGCTCCTCCACAATTTGAAGAAAAATGTCCGACCAAATCGAGAAGTAAGCCGTAATCGTTAATACAGCTCGATCGCTGTTCCAATGCGAATCCTTGATTGAAACTGCTATGTAAATATTATTAAGGAGACAAATAACATTTGTTCCAAATTTGTCTATATCGTTGCCGTACGCTAGAAAAGTATTCGTAGACCAAAACATGCGATGGGAACATCTGTGCTTACTGTTACTGTCGGTGCTGTTACTACATGTTCATATAAAGCCGCTAAGATTGCTGGACAGGAGGATCTTCCCATCACCATGTGCACGGCAGTGGGACGATTCGCGCCGTCCTAGAAGAGCATGCATTGTAGGCTCCCGACCAGGGTCATCGGTCCGTTCGCACTATTCGAAAAAGGAAGTCGCACGCGCGATTTTGAAAACTGTGTCGCAGTTTGGGGCTGAACGAGCTCACTAGCCTTGGAAAAGAGGGTGAACGGGGCTGTGGGTCCTAAAAAAGGGATTTGTATTTACCAGTCTTCTCGACTAAGTCTGCGGAAAGTCGCACGACAGCTCGGAGAACGCGAATTATACAACATGGTGGATTTTTATACAGTATACCCCTTCCCACTCTAGGGCTGTTTTGGAAAGAAGAACTGGGCGGAGTTGGGTGTGTCGACTGGTCTCAGAATCAAATGCTATAACAAACATTCGATGGTGGTCGGTGTAGGGAAGGGGTGTCATAATGGGAGAGCCTCCTAGGAGTGATGGTGGTGATGGGGCGAGGTCGCATCGACACCCCCTAAAGCGGGGGGGGGGGAAATTTTTAAGAACGCGACGGTTGACCCTTCCCAAAAGTAGGTTCAGTGCTCAAGCAAAATTGCTGCTGCTGCGTATGCGCTCCCTCACATTTTGCGACTACCGCAGTTTTCGGCCCGAGATTGTCCATTCCATGTTGCTTGTGGGGCGGAAGTGGTGTAGTGGCAAGTGGCACGCTCACCACGCGAGCGGTCCGGGGATCAAATCCTGGGTCGTGAGTCGCCCGAGCCAACCAAGCCTTCCATCCCTCCGGGGTCGGCCAACCAAGCCTTCCATCCCTCCGGGGTCGGTTAATTGGTACCAGACTTGTCTGGGAGGATAAAAACACTGACTTGTACATCGGCTGTGTCCAGTACTCACAATAGATACATACCTTTCCTGTTCGGGCAATGTGGACAATGTCTCCTCTCTGCTTAGGATCTATGAGGATTGGCTCACTACCACCGGGTGTTTTTGCGATAACATTGGTGCCATCTGTGAGGGACACACCTTCTGCCCTTCTTGTTCTTTCTGGAAGTAAGTTGGAATAGTGCATCCTGTGAGAAGCCGCTCCAGAATGATGACTAACCGCTTATGCCTTTTGCTGTCAGTTGTTCTATAGCCTGTATTACAGACTTCTCCTTATGACTCGTTTTCAGCATACGAGCTCGATTATAACCTTCTATGAACCCAATCTTGTAAGCACGATTTTTCATCTGAAAATAAGGCATATAACTGAATATGCTCAGAACGCTGCTTGGAATCCTTCCCGGAGAAATCATGATTCCATCTCTCTCATGAATTACTGGCTTGAGACCCATAATCACGATAAGAACGAAAAGAAAAAAATTGCATTTGTTTTGGTAAACAATTCGAAAAACCGGAAGGACTGCTACGCGTTCAAATTCCCGCCGGACATCTGTCACAAATGCTGGCGACGGGAACGCTTCCACTTGGTTTCGGAGTGCTGTCACTAGAAACTCTTTTTGAATTTTGACGTATTTTTGACACCTCACACTTCTACTCCCACGGATCTCTTTCACTGAGGGTCCTCTCTCACTGAAAGATCTCGAGCCGGTTGGTGGCGAGGCTACGTGGCGCGACCCCAGGTGGCGGATAGGGGGTAAATCGCGGACCAAAAGCCACCATGTACTTGCCCTGAGACGCAGGTGGATTCAGGGGATGGACTCCCTGTTCTCTGTAGTGCTGTGTCGATTCATACCAGCTTCTCCATACAGGTGTATCCATGCATGCTTGCGTGTGTGGTGCGCTCTGTGTGTGTGCGGTTGGTATCCTGCATGTCGGCACAGCCAAAAGCTTGCATTCAAGTGACTGGGAAGTACATGGGAGGCGATTCGGGGCCGCCTCCAAAAAATAAGCCCCTTGTTCCGCTCCAGGATAGCGTGGCTAACTACCTGGAGGTCTATCCTAGCCCGCACGACAGAGCCTGGCAAGCTACTCGTGTGCCTTCAATATGCCGAAAACAGCAATATGGATGGGCCTCATTCCCCTGAACCTGAGGGAGCCCCCAATACGGCAGCGTTGGGTAGGACCGCTCGGGAGAGGCTGCTAGAATCTCAGGGCCCGGATAGGCTGCCTAAAAGAAGGACTAAGATGGCGATCTGTACTTTCAACGCAAGGACGCTTGCATCCGAAGCTCACATCGAAGACCTGATGATGCAAGCCAGGAAGATCAAGTACGACGTCATCGGACTGACCGAGACGAGAAGGCACCGCCCGCTACACGCCGTTTTCGATACTGGAGAAGAACTGTTCCTTGGAACATGCGACAGCAGAGGCGTTGGCGGTGTGGGTGTCCTCGTCAACACGCACTTGGCCATAAACATCGATTCGTACGAAAGCCTTACGACCCGAATCGGACGTTTGAGATTGAGAAGATGTGGTTCAACTCCTGCTTTGACAATCTTCGTCGCCTACGCACCAACATCGAGCTACGACGAGGAGGAACACGAAGCATTTTATATGGAATTGGAGAAGTTCTAAGGAAGATCATACCTTCTTCAAGGTCATCGTCGGCGACTTCAACGCCAAGATTGGCCCAAGAAGAACGGCTGAAGAACTTCACATCGGTACTCACGGAATGGATTGGAATGAGCAGGGCGAAAGACTGTCTGAGTTTATCATGTCGACCAACACCATCCATGGTAACTCGCAGTTCCAAAGCCCTCTCACCTTCGTTGGACTTGGGAGTCACCTGATGGACAGTTCCATAACGAGATAGACCACATCATCTTCAATCGAAGGTTTTGCCTGACCGACGTCGCTGTTGTTCCAAAGTTCTACACGGGATCGGACCATCGTCTCCTCCGCGCAAGAGTTCCACTTTTCGATGCGTGTTGAGAGAGCAGCAAAGTTCAGGAAGCGAAGCCCCAGGACAGTCATCAACTGGGATCACTTCGCTTCTCTTGTCAGCTTATGGGAGGATTCCGTTATCGAGAACATCGACGAGGAATATCATCGGCTCGTTGAAAACACCTTCACGAGAGGTGGCAGAGTTCACAACGTCACAAAGGAGTCGTCCAAGCGGAAACCTCGGCTTGATACGCCAACGTGGAGCCCACGAGCTGCAGCAATCCACAAACCTCACGAGGGCAGTGGGGCGCAGTAAAGCGGACTAGGTCCCTTGAGTTTTAGAAATAGGCGTCTTTCACTATGCAACGTTACAGTATGAGACGGAACAATGTTCATTCGGTGTCGGTGGTCGTTTTTGGGAGGTTAATTGGGTAGAACTGAATTTGAAAGATCAAATGAGCTTATCAGTAACGGTGTCTTTGTCTGACGGATGCTCCTCGTTGGCAGGCGTGGTAATCGAACTGGGAAGTTTCGCCGTTAAACCCAACAACAGCAATATTCTGTTGGATTCGAGTTTACACAACATTTTGATCAATAAAACAAAAAATTACGTGACTCACATTGTCCTCCTGTTTGGACAGACGTGTCACTGCTGACTTGAGCATTTCGTCATCCTTACCAGTTTTGTTCTTGAAAGCTTCTATTTACCACAAATTGCGCACAAATATGTACAGATCGTATGAAGGCAGATGGTACGATAGATTGGATGTTTAAGGGCACAACCCAGACAGAAGTCGTGTGAACAATTCCCTTCTGTCTGTAGGATAGACCCCTAGAGGGAGATCACAGATGCGGCATTCCCGTGCACGGAAACCGACAAAAGAGGCAGGGGCCCTTGACAAGTGAGATGCAAGCTGCAGCAACTTTTTTTTTCTTTATCAAGCTGTTGTCTGGCGCTCTCTCATCTGTAGTGCTCTCTCGCCTCATACTCTCCTCTCCGCGCTTAGTCTCTCATTCCCTTAGCACAGCCGATTAGGAAGGTGAGTGAGCCCTTAACCTGAGCGTTTTCGACGGATTCTTTTCCTTTTTCTTTACTGCCGCCCACTTCGCACCGATACATTCGCATTCGTGTGCAAGAGCCACACCAATTCCATCCTGGGGTATGCAAGGAAATATGCTGCTTGAAGGGGGTTGGACCCTTCAGGAAACGAGATGTTTTGCGACGAATGACGTACCTGTAGCGTCTTAGCAAGGCTACACATGTCCCTCCGAACGCCTTCCCTGCTTTGCCAGCTATCCGAATGGCTGCCTAGCCACGGTTTCCCTCCCCGGCGAAGCGCGCTTCAGCTTTGGCAGTTGTTGAAGTTCACAGCGCGGAGATCAACGGGAGAAAGTGGTCTCATTTTGCCGAACTTAGGTCATTTCACTAGGTGTAAACTCCACAATTATGCTTGTCCAGCGGCGAAAAATCTATCATACCATCTGCCTATAAAAATGCAAGACATGTAATAGGAGAATTCAGATTACCTCCATCAAACCCGCTTTGTAACCCTCATAGTAACCGTCGAGGTACGATCTGCGTTCTTCTTTGATTAACTTCTTGACTTCCATGTCCTCCATGGGCGGTAGCATTGCAGTCATCAACGCTTTGGTCTGAAGAAAACTGATGTATTTCCAGAAAGCCACTATCGTTTCAAATCCAAATGCTCACTTTCGGTTCTCTAGCGGTATCCATCCAACGTTCTTCTCGTTCCAATAGCTTCTTCATCGCGAGTCGGTCATGCTCTTGCACATCCATCCATAGTTGCGGTTTTTTCAAAGCTTTGACTTCTTCAGCACTTCCTTTTGCCTCGACTTTCTTCTTTTTTGATACCACTTTTCGAACCTTTCCTTCAGCTTTCACCTCTTCTTTTGACCCAACTTTTATAGCCTCCTTTGATCCAACTTTTTAGCCTCCTTTGATCCAACTTTCTCCTTTGACCCGACTTTCTCCTTTGACCCGACTTTCTCCTTTGACCCGACTTTTATTTTGTCTAGGGATTCTGCGGATTTTGCCATTTTGGCTTTAGAATCGTTC